CAAAATACTGAAAAAACAACGCCCTTAACCATCCCTCGCGCCGTATTTCACTAACGTTTGCTCGGCTTAAAACGATCAGCAAAATCCGACTCTGATTTGAGCCCCTGCTTTCCTTAATTTTTAGTCTGGCCCCAAAATTGTAGGCCATTAAAACATTCAGCCCCCGCCAGCAACAGGGGTAATGAACTCCTCTTATATTAATAAGGTACCCGGGCGAGTACAAGCCGGAAAACATTACTCCCCCTCTACCTAAAAAAGATACGATGGTGCTAAACGCTGGCAACTGATCACCAGAAAAAAAGGAATTAAAAAAACAACGAAAAAGACCAGGGAGAAACACGGCCCTGCTGGCAGAGCTATCGATCTGTAGCTTTCTCCCCAAGCTGTGGCTCGAACGCATAGACGCGTGAGAGAAAGAGAGCGAGCGAGAGATGGACGGAGAGAGAGAGTGAGAGAGAGAGAGACAGAGAGAGAGAGAGAGAGAGACAGAGACAGAGAGTGTGTGTATGTGCGTGTTTCGGCTATGCTGTTCAATCTGAGATGCCGTTGGAGTTAGTGAGGGTGTCAGTCTGTGAGCAGATGGTACTTCTTTTTAAACCGCTCGCCGCTACTTCAGGCACGTGTAGAAAAGTTGGTCAAAAAGGAAAGAACTGTCAAGACTCGCTGGGTCTCCGGTAAAGTCTTCCGAGCACCGGGGGAACTCTTATTGTTTACGCGAAACATTTTCTTCCATTAGCGCGAGGGTGCGACCAACCCTACAGAGGCTCTCAAAGTTTGAAGTTCTTTGGTTACTCTTCGTTTCTGATGTGTGCGTGTGTGCAATGCATTATCAATAAATCGTTCAGAATTTAGTTCAGTTGTTTCCGAAAGTACTCGATAGAGTGTGAACATTAGTGGTGAAATGTCAGTTTGAAATATGATTTCAGTGCGATATTGAGGGGTTCATAACAATATTATGAAATACTCTGTTTACTAGCGGAATAATTCTTTGTGATGTATGCAGGTCTGGTTAGACAGGTACTCTTCATATTGCCATTAACTACCCCTTGCAAAGATTTATTGGAGACTTGGATTGCACAGTGAATCAAGTTTTATATATTAAATGATTTAAGACTCTAGGGAAAAGAATTAAGTTCTTGGGGCAATCCATTAGTCGAGAAAAAAAACGAAAATGCCACTCTATGATAATAGTATGTCCTTTGATGGATGCACTTTATGCTACATTGGTATACATTAAACACAAAACACGTCCTTTGTATAAAAAAGCAAAACTTTTTCAAGTTTGTATTAACAAGCAAAACATATCTGGTCGGCACAACGAACCACCCTGTTTACGAGCTCCGGTTAACACATCGCGCTTACTGACCGTCCTCAGTAATCACCCATAATTGTAACAGCTGTAACCAGTTGACACTGCTTTGATGGTTTTATATAATCTTGATCCTGTGATCTTTCAACCAAATCTGGCTTCCTGGTTTTGTAAACGCCAAAACAGCGTAGTCGTAATGAAGAGCAAGATCGACAGATTAGAGTATTAAGAATTAAAATGAAGTCTGTCAACATTTCATGATTTCTGAAGCGACACCGTTTGCTGGCATCTTTCCCATGGTGTTGATTTTTGGGAACCTTGAGTTATATGGTTGAATATTGCTGAACCAATAAAATGAACGTTTTTTTTATCCATTACGACCATTACGAGTAATAGGGATTGATTCTCAAAAACCGCTGTGTTTCCTTTCTAACTTTAGGATTGAGATACAATATCATCGTGAGTAGTAGCTGCTCTGTTGTTGCCCATCGTTTACACGAAGTAATCTTGACTTTGCAGAGCTAAGTAGATCACTCTTCCAAACGGTCTGGCGTTTTTATGGTGTTCATCGCTTTCAAAGCTTTTTCAGTCGTTGGACGCTGCTTCTCGGACCCTTCTGCAATAAAACGCCCTGGCTCTTGCATTCTTTTGGTACCAAGTCACATTTCTGCGTCCTGTATCGCTTTCTTTTAGTTCCTTGCCTACTTCCTTTTCTTCCTGGATGTTTCTCGAGTGAACCATGGCTATCAGATCTTACAAAAGGCCTATCATTCGCTTTCTTCATTCTTCTGCACTGCTTAATCTCGGTCTACAAGTCACACAAAAAAGTTAAACACCCCCCCCCCATCGACCTCGAACCAAGCGAACACCAGCAACAAAATGCCAGCCAACAAATCTAAACTCCCAATCGCTTCCCATTTGCGTGAGAATCGCGTTGTACGCGTTGTAAACTGCTGTTCACAAACAGTCACCCTCGGGGCTTTGCGACAACCCCTCTTTCCTCCCCCCCTCATCTCCCTCACTCCACCTGTGACTGTGACAAAATTCAGAGCGGGAACATCCTCCGCGACCTGGATCCGGAAATTACCCAGCGAGCCGACCGCGGACAGGATTTCTCTGCGATATTCTATCGACCTGCCTCTCTGACCAACTCTAATTAAAGTGCTCACCAGTGAATGCATAGTGCGTGTGGCATTTATTTCTATCTCTGGAATCGACATCTTTTGTCCTTCATTATTCAGATCTAGGCTTGGGGGTTCTTAATAATACTATCTTCACCAAGTGTGCTCTAAAAACAAGAATATTGCTGCTGAATGAAAAAGAAGGAAAACTTCGCCTCTAAAATGTACGTGTGGAGAAATGAGGTCTAGCTTGAACTGTTTCCTCAAGGGGCACGTGATTTGCCGGACCTAGCGTGATATCGATTTCTTATTGGCTAATTGGATTTTAATGGTCGCTCCTATCTCCACCCATGGTTGCCCTAGACGCCTCGCAGGTAAGTTGAAGGCAGTTTAGTGGTAGCATTTCTTTGGGGTTCTGAGTTTTTTTGGGTATTGTTGTATAGCCATATTTCTGGACTATGTGCTCAGTACTCCATAACTGTTGGCGACAACATCATTTGAAGCTAAAACAGTTGTGTCGAAACGTTCCTTCTCTCGCTTCCCTTCTTTTTCTACTTCTCTTCCTTTTCTTCCTATTCCTCTTCCCCCTCCACCTCCCCCCTCTCTTCCTCCTCTTCCTCCTCGACATCATCATCATCATCATCATCATCATCATCATCATCATCATCATCATCATCATCATCATCATCATCATCATCATCACCATCATTATCATTGTTGTCGTCGTCGTCGTTGTTGTTTTTGAGCGTGTAGCATTGTCAGTTTTCTTTACGAATCCCATGCCTTCATGTCCTCCTCCTACTTCTACTCATCCTCACTCTCCTCCTCCTTCATCTTTTTCTCCTTCCCCTCCTTCTCCTTCTCGTCGTCCTACTCCACCACCTCGATCTCCTTCTAACCAGGGCTATTTTTCTCCTCTTTCTGACTCTAACCCTTTGCATTCATTCCCTTTTCCTCTTTCTCCTAGCATTCATCCTAATCATTAACATAGCAGCTTTCCTGCACTGGGTTTATTACGCCTTTCATCATTCACTTTAGTGTAAGCAAACAACATAATATTCGTATGAAGTCGCTTACTTTGCCAAATCACACGCTGTGTATAGCGTTGTCCGTCATTGCCTTTTTGCTTAATGTCGGCATTATAAATATTGCAACTAGATTCTACTTCGTACGGCCAATTTCCACATTGGACCAGAACCCTTTATTATTTTTCAGCTGGCTCCCAACAATAATAATAAAGATATATAATGTCTTTTCTGACTTTGATCTTAGTTTGTTGATAACATAAGCTCGAAATACACACCCTGACCTGTTCCCCACATACCCTAATAATATTATGCGGCTTTCTTTTGTCTTAGACTCATACATTGGAGTTTGATTTCTTTACCAAGTTACTATTAATTGTAGCTTTGGGCGTATGCGTATAATTGATTTACACTTAATAAGCTCACTCAAAATGAAACACCGTAGTATGCAGTGGTATGGTGGTGCTTTGTCTTTATTATACGAACATGACTAGAAAGAAAAAACAACAACTATCAAGCAAAAGGAAGGTAGGAAAACAAAGCTAACAGAATTCATTCTTAGTTTGTAAGTCGAATGTCTTTGTCGCGATCTTGAATGCCCACTTTGAAGTAGCCCGCTTTGTAAGTGATCTAACCTGTGTTGAATGTGTGTGTATGTGTGTGTGTG